GCTTTTTTGCTACAAACTATTTCAGCAACATGGAAGATAGTAAATTCGATATAAAGCTGATCCTTGAATTTGATAGTGCTGGGTCAATATTAGAATGAATTGAGAAATTTCAACTGGTATTCCTGTGTTGTGAAACGTCTTAAGAGCATCTTTTCCCTTTTGTCTGGCTGGAGGGGCATTTGCAGTGTATTAGCAATTGACCAAAGAAGAGAGAGTGGATGCAGCATGAATTAAGGACATTGCTATCCACTGTTTTGCTGCATACAAGCAGTTTAAAGCTCAGAATTGTGTGCAAGTGAAACTGCAGATGTTTACCTGGTTGATTTGCGAAAGTTGGCAGTACTGTTTGGGGAATGCCCAACTGTGCAATGGTGTATGCATTTGTCCGTGTGTATGACGACATATTCGGTCAGCCTCTAGGGTGGACTCGCTGATGCTTGAGGAGTTACTGGCCCGAGCCCAGGCACTTGTGAAGGAAGAGTCAGAAGAGGAATGGATGGTGGTGGGAAATGGGTCAAGGGGTGATGTGTCAGCACCAGCCTCATCTCCCTCCAGGATGTAAATGTAGTGCTACCAGTTGTGCTGCCTCTCCTACCTGACCATGTTGGTGCCATTCTCTCTTCCCCGCAAGTCACGAAAAAGACGCTTCCCATAATCGATGTATGCACTGATGGGGTGAAACCTACCACCCTCATGGATACAGGTTGTTTGCATTTGCATACAAACATATCCAATTGTTGTCTGTGGAAAAGACAAGAGGTAGATGTGCTGATGGCTGACAGAAAGGTCTTCAGAAGTTAAGGAGTCACAAGCATGGAAGCCCCCCCCTCCCGACAATTAGATGTTCTGGTCTTGGAGAGTAAATTGTTAGATTCAACCTGTTGCTTGGGATAGATGTTATTGAGAGCTTGGGTGCTGCTTTCATCACAAAAATGGGTGAAATCCCATATTTGTGCAGCCATTACTGTAAATTGGCTTGACTTTATCATGGTATTTGACCAATGGGATAGTTGAACATTGTCACTGAAGCATAAAGCGGATTGCCACACCATAGTCAGTTCAAGCACATCAATAAGTGATGTTGACAGTGAGTCCTCTAAAGAATGTGGGGCTGGTCAAAATAAGTGATGCTTTGTGTATGTCCTTGGAAGGAAACTACACTCAGCCTAGTGGAAATATGTCTGATGTCCCTTTAGGAGGTGATTCATTAGCTGATGAGATGGTAGTTGTCTCTTTGAGAAGAAGCACAAGGCTTAAGAAACCCGCCCCTTGTTGTCACCAGTGGGATCATGAGGGGGGAGTGTGGTGAAAGAGAAAGTCACTTATCGAGAAAAAGGGCAGGTGTGTTCTGTACGATATGCCAAAGACAAAACAACCAAAATAGAAACGAGTCAGTGGCAGATATTGCCATAAATGCATCACAGATATGTTCATATTGTGCATCCTCTCCTAACTGTCGACCAATGAAAAAATTGTTCAGCTGATAAAAGCAGTTGGTATTCTTGAATTGGGAAGTCATTTTTATTTTTCTAAATCAACTGCCAGTTTGCATGTTGGATTTCTGACCATTTATGTGTATTGGGATTGGTGACATTTGACCTGTGATTCATGATTTTGACATTTCTGTCTGCCCCTGGATATATTTGAGTTTGGATTTGTGATTTGTTTATTTCATTGGAGAATTGGGCTGCCATATCAATTATTAGAACACATTGTTTGCAAGGAAAGAAATAAAATAGATTAAAGCTTTTTTGCTACAGGCCCCTCAAACTTTTATAAAGCAGTGATTTGAATTTTCTAAATGTTATAATTCATGTTCATAAACTGAAATGATATCAACATGGCAAACTCATATTTGACTTTGCAGGAAGTAAAGCAATGCAAAGAATGTTTTCGTTTGTCTCATTGTTTCAAGTAGATAACATCTTTGATTTTAGTTCAGAATGTTTAAATCTTGAAAATTTTTATAAAGCAGTAATTTTAATTTTCTAGATCTTATAACTTCTAAATAGTTTCATAAACTGAAATTATATCAATATGACAAACTCATATTTATTTTCATTGTTTTGTTATAATGATGGTTAAAAAAAAATGTTTGTTTTTTCTTACTACGGTTGTGTTGAAATCTGTGTTATTTTGGTCTGCAATAAATAGTAAAATAATGAAGGTATTTCTTAAAGAATATTTTTATTGACAAACAAAAGACAGCTATTCTAGTTTATTTAAAAAAATTGCAATAAGTAAGGGTACTGTTTATAATAAATATTTTTAATAAGAAGAAATTACATAATATATTACTTCTATAAATGTATTCTGAAATTTATACCAATTTCATTGTTAATTAGATCTAGTACAGCTATATTTATATATGGAAGAAAATATGCAACACTTTTGGTATACTGTGTTTTTTTATTTTAAGAAAGATATAAAAAGATGTTTCATAATGAGAATTTGAACCAGGTTGCTTATGTTAGTTGCTTTGATGTGTGACTTCCACATA